TCTGTGCTGTTCTATGTTCTTCTATGTTCTCCACACTTATCCGATGTGAAATACAATACTTTGTTGATATAAATGTCGTTGACACTTAGGTAAATCAGCTGTAATAGTCACTATACAGGGTCACCCATGATTTGTTTAAAACTTCTTAAATTTCACCTCAAACTGTAATTTTCCCAAGTAACTATAACTTGTGCAATTAATAAGCAGGGGTTTAAATCATATTGCCACTGTTTATGGTGAAACACCAAATCCTGACTCCTGAATATCATGTTAAGATTCCTCATCAGGAATCCTGTATTTTAATTACAATGAAAAAGATGGACAATACAATCTTATGTAGTCCTTAAGTAATCATCCTTAAGTAAACACATTATTTTACTGAACTTAATGATTTCAGCCTATCTCTTTAAGAAAAGTCCAAATATTCCTACGTATGACCCTGTATAGTAAAAATAATCAACAACATAAAACTGGCATGAAATACATGGATGCTGGTCAAGTTTGCAAATAGGCACCTCTGTACATGAATAATATGTATTCGTAACCACCCGCAAGTCCTACCACTTCTAACAACCATTGTGTTTTTTTTCTCAGATAACAAGGTGTAGAGCTGGATGAACACAGCAGGCCAAGCAGCATCAGAGGAGCAGGAAGGCTGACGTTTCGGGCCTAGACCCTTCTTCAGAAAAGAGATTCTCAGCAGTTTTAAGCGAGGAAAAAGAACTTGGGAAATGTTGGGTTGATGCTAAGTATAGTCGACTTGTGAGAGGTTTCTACTTGTAGCTGCAGTGTGCGAATGCAGCTATGCAGTGTCTCGGGTTCCTTGTCCTTTTAACGTCCCTCCCGCTGAATCCAAGCCTCGAGCTCGGGTTGCTCTGTTCGCGGCGCTCGGCTCCACCCACTTCGGCAGCGCTCGGCTCCGTACACTTCACATCGGCAGCGCTCGGCTCCACGCGGCTCCCTTCACATCGTCAGCGCTCGGCTCCAACCGGCTCCCTTCACATCGGCAGCGCTCGGCTCCACTCGGCTCCCTTCACATCGGCAGCGCTCGGCTCCGTACACATTCCATCGGCAGTGCTCGGCTCCACTGCCTTCCGTTTGGCCCGATGGCCGCCGACAGAAGACTATGAGGAGGAGGAAGTGCCGGTTTGACAGCTCCCTCTTTCCCTCTCGTATAATGAATGAAACGAGGTCTGAGCCGCCGGCCATGCACTGAACGAGCGGCGCCACAATTCCCGCATAGTCCCCGAACATGTCATTTTTTAGGCGAAAAGGTAAGGAGTGAAGCGGGTTTGGCGAGAGGGAGGTGGAGACACCAGGCCCTGCTGCTGGGGTTAGGCCTCCCGCAACCGGCTGCTGCTTTATCGGCAACACCCTCTCTCCTTCCTATACAGTCTCTTGCCTGAGCAGGGCGGCTAACAGCTTGCAGCTTCATTCTCTTTTGGTCTGCTTCTTGTTAATGTTCTGTACATTCGAGTGCAAAAAGACACCAACAAATGCCCCTGTTCCAATTTTAACGCAGTGAATTCAACAGTTCAGGCAGAGGAATCTTAAATTCAACCTGAGAGTATGGAGAGAAACCACAAACTTTCACGTCTCTACTGTATTTTGAAACGAGAGAGTGTTGTTATGCAATTTAGGCGGCTGCGTTCACTAGCAGCCTAAATCACAACTGCATAGTGTTATGGTCTTGTGTCACCTTGGCGTTGTGTTGCGTTTAAAAAGAACTAATGGGAGATTTGGGGTGGGCAAGATTACAAAGTGAGTGAAGCTGGATTGACGATATAGAGGTTTCAAACTCTTTTTGAAGTCAACTCAATCACAGGATGGAAATGACACAGAAGGTCATTCGATACTTCGTCTCTGTGCTAGCCCTTCAAGGGAGAAATTTGTCTTGTGCCACTTCACTCTTTTCTCTTCGTGGCCCTGCACGTTCTCATTTTTTTTGGATAATAATCCAATTTTCTCTTCAATGGGTCAATTGAATCTGCCTCCATCACACCCTATTGTAGAGCATTCCAGATACCTTTGGGTGAAAATGTTTTTACCTCATGATTACAAGTTTTACGAAATACCTTTAAAACTGGCTAATTCTGTCACTTCAACCTTTGGGAACAACTTTTTCCCTACCTATTGTCAAGACCCCTTGTGATCTGAGCAACTGTATCAACTCATTTTTTTTTAAGGAATACAGTCTCAACTTCCCCAATCTGCCTGCATAACTGAAGTTCCTTATCACTAAAGCCATTCTTGTGAATCTTTTATGAACACTCTAGTCCTTTCACATCTAACTTTAATGTTCAATTGTATAAATATAAATTTAAATTTAACACCAGTTACTTGTTTCAGCAACTACCTGAATTTTATAGGATAAAAATGAGATGTATGATTTGTGACTTTTTTGTTTTTTGAATGTTTATAGTAAAGAACAAGTTGTGATGTGGAAGTCAATTAGCTATAAACTTCAGTTAATGATGTATTTGTTTCCTCTTCCTGGCGTTACTTGTTAGAATTTGATCAAACTAATGGAGAGAACCCCTATTCCATTCAATATTAGACCTTTAATATAAATTACAACATAGCTGTTCCTAGAGAAACATTAAATGCTAAAACATGCTATCATGAGTAGTTAATTAGGAAGACAATAGACGCTCAAGACACCATGATTGCAACTGTGTCCTCTGTCAGTTCCAGTAGCACTCTTGTCAGTTACCAATCTTCCATTCAGATTAGTCTGCAAACATGACAATTGATGTGCTTTAGAATTGAGAATGAGAGGCGCTTTGGACTATTTATAAAAGGGTGTGTGAATTTGGCATTTATCATATCTTGTGTATATTCCTACCTAACGGTCAACCTTGGCTTGCTGGTAACATTCTCACTTATGTGTCAATAGGCCATGGTTCAAGTCACTCCAGTCTTGAATCTAAGCTAACTGATCAGTGCAATTGTAAACAGATGCTCCACTGCTTTTGTATAAGATTGTTAATTAAAATCCTTAAAACTAAATTAGGCATTTGCAAAAGATCCTATACACTACTTGAAAAGAATAGGGAATTTCTTCCAGTTTCTTGTTAGTGGTTATCATTTAAACTGACTCCATTCAAAGTGCATCTAGTCATTTATCTGATTCCAGTTATGAGACCTTACTACACACAGCAAGTTTCCAAATTCATCGCACCAGACACCAGAAGTACTTCAACCTGGGAACAATAAATTGGTATTGGTTTCTTGTTCATAGTCTTGGCATCGTACTTAACACTGAAATTCTGATCACACATCCATTCCTTCAGCTCTGCTGCATGCTTCCTTTTTTAATATTGCCCATTTCTGTACCTTATCTATGCCTTTCTTGTTGAAGACTTGTATGTCTCACCATTCTCCTTGCCAGCCTCCAGCCTCCATCTTCCATCCCCGTAAACTTGAGCTCATCCGAAGCTTTACGAATGGTATCCTATCTTACACTAAGTCCCATTCACTCAGCACCATTGTGCTATGTTGCCTTCTGATAGGGCAGTATCTCTGTATTAAAGTTTTGTTCTTGTTTTCAAATCCCTCTATTGTCTTGCCTCTCCATATCTCTTTAACCTGCAGATGCACAATTCTCTGATATCTTTGCACTTCTCCACTTTGGGCTCTTGTGCATTCCTGGTTTTAATCGCTTCTGCACTGGCATTTGTTTCTTCAACTGTCTAGTTTCATAGGCTCTGGAACACGTACACAGACCCACAAACTTTT